AACCAAGCTCACCTGTGGGCCTGCTGCAGGCAGAACTGTCAGCTGGCCTTCAGCAGGGCCACCACCGTCACCTGCCCTGCCGCCCCCGCCATGGGGCTCGAGCCGTTGATGCTCCATGCTGGTGCCTCCCGGCACAGCCGGCTGCTGTTGGCCACCCCCTCGGAGGCTGAGGCCACCCCCTCGGAAGCCGAGGCCAGCCCCAGCCAGGTGGCCAGGGCCAGCACCAACAGCCCCATCCCGGACCCTTGCCCCTGTCAGGGGGAATTGGGGTGTTAGTATCCCCTCTTCCCTGGGGCTCAACCCAGCAGGGTCTTCCCAGCCCCACTGCAACCCCAAATCACCTCCCTGCCACCCCTCTGGGGCAGACAAAAACTGGTGGGCAGTGTCAGACTGGTCCCAGCATGGCACTGGGAGCCAGGACACCCCACTCCCTCGGGGAGGATTGGGGTACCCAGCTCCAGACAAGCATTGTGCCCTTGCTGCTGGCTTTCGTGGCTGTCGCAGCGGGTGCCATGGTCTCGCCCAGTGGTGAGTTACCAGCTCCACATGCCAGGGATGAAGGTCCCCTCTCCCATGGGTGGTGGGGGACAAGCTCCACCTCTCCAACCCAAAAAGCCAGACCCAGCCCCGGCCAGGGGTCTGTCCTTGCCCCTGAGATGGTCAGGGATGCAGCTCCCCATTGTCCTGGTCATCAGCGAGGAGCCAGTGGGACAGGCATAGTGACCTTCAGGTCACCTTGAGAGTCCTCAGTGCTCCACGAAGCGCTTAAGGGGTGCACAGAGCCTTTAACCCCACCCACCCCCTGCCTCCAATAGCCGCCTGAAGCCCCTTCCTCCCACAACCCCCCAACCCTGCCCACCCCAAGATATGCCCCATCCCTCCAGGATCCAGCACGCTTAATGGACAGGGGAGAGGGGGAGGACATGGGGCTGGGGGGGACGATCCAGGGAGGTGGGGAGAGAGCAGGGGACTGTGGAGTCTAGTTGGGATGGATGTAGCCCCAAATCCCCAGCCCTCTCCCCCGCGAGAACGAGCCCTCAATACCGCTCTTCTCCTCACTGCCGTCCTCTGGCCAGACTTTGCTTCCAGTCCCAGCGGCTCTTGGCAATGCCCAGCTGGCCCGAGTCTCCCTTTTATCTCCTGTCCACTCTCCCCGCCCAGGAGGGAGGAGAGGAGCCTGGCCAGAGCAGGGACTGTGCCCCGGCCACCCCCCGCCTGCCTTGGGGAATGGCAACAAGGCAGGCACTGTCCCCCCCTGTTTCCCCTCCTTCGTTCTGCTGCTGCCACAGCCCAGCCCAAGCTGTGCTGGGGCAAAGCGGTGCCTGGTGCTGGGCTGGCACAGAGGGTGCCAGGCGGTGCTGCGGGGAAAAGCCAGGCATGGCTGTTCAAACCCCCCCCATGGGCACAGGAGGGCTGGCAGCATTGCTAAGGGCACCATGGGGTGACATCGAACAGTGCCATCCATGCACAAGGTCCTGGGGGAGCCGCCGGTGCAGCTTCTTCCACCCTGCAGCCAAAAAGATGAGTGCCTGCCCCACACCTCTGGGGTGCTGGAGCTCTCTACCCCACAGGGTGCCACCCCAAAGGCCATGTCGTCCTGGCACATGGTGACACAGCCACTCTTGGGCCATGCTTGGCCCCACAACAAGCCCCCAGCACCTGGTCCTGTGCCTCCTACCCTGCTCTGGGCCCAGGGGGGCTGTGGTGGCATGAGGAGCTAGTCCTGCCTTGGGAAATCACAGTCCCAATGGATCCTCCCCCCGGCCCCAACCAAACAAGAGGAGCTCACCACTTCAGCCGCACATGGACATCTCCGCAAATATTTGAGCAGTTTATCGTACCTGTGCTCTGTACAAAAACATGATAAGGCAGGGAAGGGCAGCAGACACAGACACGATGGGGGCAGCAACACGGTCCCAGACACATGAAGGGGGTGGGGAGGGATTTGTCTGAAAACAGCCATGAGCAGTCCGGAAAAAGGGGATTGATGCCGGCAAGGACATGGGGCCGTGGGTTTGGGCCATTGGGTTGGGATTGGGGATGCTGGTGCAGCTGTGTCAGGTCAGCCCGGAGCGAACCCACCCTGTGACTGACACCTGACCCTCCGCAGAGCTGTCGCTCCCCAAAATCCACTTGCTTTTTCCCCCCTCCAAGCCCCTGCGGGTACCCTGGGGCACTAAGAAGCACCCAGCACCCAGCAGGGGCACGAACCCCCCCGGCTGCACCCCCTGTCACCGAGGGGTTGGAGCCGGCAGGGAGTCACCACGGGCCATTTCATCACCCCTCCCAGGGGACCCCCAGCCACCACCCGGCAGCCGGGTCGTCTCCTCCGGTGCTCAGCCCGGGCAGCTTCACGCTCCGCACACCCAGCCCGGCGCCTCTGGGCTCCACGCAAACTCTGGGCACCCGCAGCGTCCCGCACCCATACCTCCCTGCCTCTAAACCCGGCGGCAGCCGCCCCCGTGTCGTCCCCCCGGCCCGACGCCCCGTGTGCCGGCCCACAACGGCACCCACCGATCCCCCCCCGACCACCATCACCACCCCCGCCCCGGGGAGGCTTCCCCATGGCGGGGGCAGGTTGCTTTGCTGCCACCCCGCCACCGCC